AATCCCAAGAAAGTTTCACTTGTTAGTGTTTTGAGAATTTATTCATGACTGTAGAATATATCACCTGTAACTTTTTATAAACATTTTACAAAGTACTTTCCTAAGAAAACCCTAATGCTTTCTGTGATGTCAGGCATTATGAAGACAACATTTTAAGTATTCCTGCATGCAACAAAATTTCACAATCTGTATGTTTTCCAGATTCATAGAAATATATGACTTCAATGTTGCAACTAAGCTATGGGGAATTATGTGGGAAATAATTCTAGAATAGCTATTCTTTCTGTGTTACTCAAGCCATGATGCACGCGTATATAGTTAAAGTCAGTTAACAAGAATTGTGAGGGTTTTATTGGTGAACTGCTTACTTTGCAAGCATGTAGATCTGAGCTGATGCCCAGAACTGAGGTAAAAAGCTAGACAAGGGAGTAAATACACTGAAAAGATGGAGACAAAAAAAACTGCTGGGGCTCTCTCTTCAACCATTATAGTCAAATCACTGAGTTTCAATTCCCTGTATGAAACAATCTCAAAAGACAGGTAGATAGAACCTGAAGACGAACAATAGCAGAAGTTTTCCTTTAGGCAGAAAACACACACAATCACACACACCCTCACACACAAAAATATCAGTCAAAAATTCAGATTCTGTACAATTTAAAACTCCAGTCTATCTAGACAGACCTGAAAATTTCTTCTCATATTCATAGTAAAAATGGAATTACTAGATTATCAGATCATGCATGGTGAAGGATACAGAATGTTTTATATGCTAATTCAAGCAGTTGTCTGTCTTCCTCTACATATATCACAAAAATTGGCAGCAGCTAAATTGTTATTTTGTAAGTTTGAGCTGATTATGTGCTGCCAAGAATCATGTAACACACATGAAAAAATTTATAAATAGTGGTATTGTTTAGTAATGTTTTTAAAAATATCCTGATTGATGGTTTCCCAGTTGGTGGATAGGAAATGCAAGTAGTGAACTCTTGTGTTGGGTAGATATAAACCCCAAAGCTAGAAGGTCTGCAATGAAGTAGGAGCCCAATTATCTGCAGAGCATGTAGAAGATTTCTTGTTGTCTAGAGATAATATTGTATTACTAGCCTTCTCTTATCCTATCATTCCATTCCAAGTTAAATAAACTATGTGAATATATGTTTTCATAAATCAGGTATAAAGCAATAGTTAATAACCCAGTTAAATGTTTGCTTCTAGTGTTGCATCTTGTTTGAATCCAAGACCCAAAACATATATTGTGGACATGGTCATGTTTGAAGTTTGCTTCATTTTTGTCTGGTTTCTCTTATGTTCAATATGCAATAATCATATTAATAGTTAAAGAATATATCATGGTTTTATGTCATAATATGACTTCACAAAAATGATCATATATAATTTATCATACATTTACAAACATAAAAATCTATGTAATCTCTTAACAAATAATGAACCTGCAGAGAATATTTATTAATTATTGAATGCATTATAATAAGAATATAGAAAAATATAATATATAATATATATTGAAATCCTGTCCTTATTTTGTCTCTATATGTCACATATGTACACAAGAAATGAGTCCATAAACATTTTACTGTAAAGAATACAGTTAGATAAAAATGTAAGGCACAAGCTTCATCTGATAGTCTCAATTTTAAGCAAACTGGAAAATGGATTTAAAAGACAGAGAGAGAGAGACAGAGACAGAGACAGAGACACAGAAAGACAGAGACAGAGAGAGAGATACAGAGAGAGACAGAGATACAGAGAGAAGAGAGAGAGAGAGAGAGAGAGAGAGAGAGAGAGAGAGAGAGAGAGAGAGAGAGAGAACACCAGCAACCACACAACCACATAGAGACAAAAAACTGTGGACTGCATAGGCAGACACAGAGCATTTTGGTACATACCATAAACCTGAGAAGACTTGGAGACTTTCAAGAGAAGTCTCCTTAATATCTGCAGAGGATAATAAGTAACAATCACAGATATCCCTCAGGAATGACTCAGGGGAAATGTATCTCTTGAGTAAAAACTAACCCATTGTTTGTTCATCATTTGAACAAAAGTTTACAGTGCTCCCAAGTATCTGATGTTTTGATTGGTATGCATTATCTTATGTTATTATAACTGTATATGAGCCTGGGAAATTCATAAAGAATAAATGACTATGTGGATATTAATACTAGAGGTTGCAAGAACCAGGATCAAGAAGATGTATATATATATATATATATATATATATATATATATATATCCTCAAGGCTGACCACTTGATATTGGATAACCAACTGGGGTTGGGGTTGTTCCTTCCTGGACAAGACTTTTTGTGTTTGAACTAAAGGAGGGATCTTCTGACTGTACTAAAGTGAGCAGATCCAGGGAGGGAGCCCTTTGTATAAATTGCTAGACAGCTCAATTAATATGATCAACCACATAGTTCTAAAAATTAGCCAGCCATTTTTGCTATATTAATATTACATTTTTCTTTCAAATGCTTAAAGATCATCATGCAACATAGCATGCATAACAGTCATAGAGTACTGAACAAAACAATGTGATAACAGTACAAATCATGGTACCAGGGATATGATTTTTGATACATTTGCAAGTGTGATGCTGTAAAAGTCACTATCCCACTTAAATTGCCCCCCCCATAAAGAATTGGCACTAATAATTGTTTTGGATTGAATTGCAGCAATTGACTAAATTAAACTAAATTTGCATCTTAAGCACATTATTACAAATAAAATTACCATTTTTTATTTATATGAGAGGACATTAAACAAATTAGTATTTCTCTACTGTAATATACAGTATTTTTAGTCACAGAGGATAAGTATGATAAATCTTTCAATAGAATAATCCTGTGACACAAACAGTTCTTAGAAAGAGCAGGATTGAAATATGAAGGTTGAATAACATGATGAATTGGTTTTTGATTATGTTAACCTAATCCCAAGATCACTGACATGTTGACACTAAAATTCATGCTGGAGTTTATTTTCTAGTTTTCAGTGTTAATAGGCTGGTTCAGGTAAGATCTTCAAGTGGCGATGAGGTCATGACAGTTGGCTATGCTTAATGGTCATGATTTTAGCTCTAGGAAATCCCAACCTTGGATTCCTGATAACTCCATGATAAAAATGTGAGCTGAGCCAACCTCTGATTCCTTACAAAGTAGACAGAGACCATACATCCAGGAAATAGTAAGAAAAATCCGTGATATATTGTTGGCAAATTTTGGGCATTGAGAAACTTGTGAGATAGATGTCAACATTCTTTCCTCATGTCATAAGAGATACCAAGGAAGAGTTGGACACATACATCAAGCCTTATTAAGATGATCACTTCATTTCACACATAATCTGCACATTCAGAGTGGTATAACAGTAGACTCACCATTTTGCTTCAAACAGTGAATGAGGAACTGAAAACAATGCTGATGAATAGAATTCGGATGATTTAAATATCCACGTTTACTTAAATTTCTGTCCTTCAAAAATTTAATAATTTTTATTATCTAAAGTCAGGATATAGATAAGGAAAGTTGGGCCCTAAGATAAATTAGACATTTTGGAGTTACAAGCTCTATTGTAATGGAATAAAGGATAAGACTACCAATAAAATTAACATATGACCTGGGAAGTCTATGGGGCCTCTTGCAGTGGAACCAGTATTTATTCCTAGTGCATGGATGAACTTTGGGAGCCCATTTACCCATGGAGAGATATTCTTTCCACCTAAATACACAGAGGAAGGCCTAGACCCTGCCCCAAATGATATGACAGACTTTTATGACCACCCATGGAAGGCCTTACTCTCCCTGAGGTGTGGTTGGGGAATGAGATGGGGGGCATGGGTGGATTGCAAGGAGAGGGAATTAGGATTGATATATAACATAAGATTGTTTCTAATTCAAATTTAAAAAGTTATTAAAAATAAAAAATTTGACACATGATACGACAAACAAGTACAATAAAAATACTGTAGTATGACACCTTGTTTTCTAAAAAAATATTTATTATATTAATATACATTTGAGGATAAAAACTCACTTATATATTTGAATATGCTTATAATTTATAATTCATATTAATATGGTCAAAATTCCAGAATCAGGGAATTTGTCTCCAACGACAACAATGTTCATAACTAATAACTAGTGATGAAAATGTTTTGAAATATTTAAAATATATTTATATGTAAAATCAGAACAAATTACATAGTTCCTTTAACAATAGACTTGAGAAATTCTAGTCATTAAACTTCATTTATTAATTTATATTTTTAGAAACACTCCTATTTCCATATCTGTCCCCCCATTCCTTCCCCTTCCCATCCTCCCTTGCTTCCCACCGATCCGCCAACCCACCCACCACCCACTCACCAGCGATAGGGAGACCCTCAATGGGGGAACTTCGAAGACTGTCACATGATTTGCGGAAGGGCTCAGGGCCTCCTTTCCGTATCTGGGCTGCAATAGTATCCCTCCATTGGGAATGGGCTTCCCAAGTCCATTTGTGGCCTAGGAATAAAGCCTGGCTTCACTGTTAGAGGTTCCATAGAGTGTGTTGGCCTCCTAGCTGGTACCCACATTCAGAGGGTTTGGTTTGGTTCAATGTTAGTTCCCCTGTTTTATGACTGGGGTCTGAGTGCTCTCATTAGGTCAGGTTAACTGTTTCTGTTCCATCTTCGTTCATTTGAAATTGACTAGAAGCCCGTCTGTGTATGTGTATGTGTGTGTGTGTGTATGTGTGTGTGTGTTATTTAATAACCTATATATCATGACCCAGAGCCCAGAGTCCTTTGCAGCATGCTTTCCTACCTCTGCAGTGTTTTTCTGTTGAGAAGTGAAAATATGAAAACATCAAAGAATAACTACTATTATTTTAAAAATTCAGAAGCAAAATGTTTATTTGATGAAAATAAAAATAAGTTCAATGTATTCCCGAAGTGTTTTCTTATGAACATTACGTATCACTGTACAGTTTAACCTTCTATTTTTCTAAAAATGCTCTACTGATGGCCTTGTTCATAGCGGCCTTGACATCTTTGTTCCTAAGACTGTAGATCATGGGATTCAACATAGGAATAACTGTAGTGTAAAACACAGCTACCATTTTCCCTTGCTCCACAGATTCCTCAGTTGGGCTTCTGAGATACATGAAGAAAAGCGTTCCATAAAATATAGTTACTGCTGTTAAGTGAGAACCACATGTGGAAAAGGCTTTTTTCCTTCCTTCTGTGGAGCGCATCTTTATGATGGCAATAAGGATGAATATATAGGAGACAATTATGACCAGTAAGGAGTAAGAGAAATTGAGTCCCGCCAAGGTGCGCATGGTATATTCCTTAATGAAGGTCCCAGCACAGGCCATCTTGATGAGAGCTGGGTCTGCACAGTAGAAATGGTTAATCACAATGTTCCCACAGAAGTACAAACCATGGGTCCACAATGTAGAGATCAAACTGATAAAGAAGCCATAGATGTAAGGGAAAGAGATTAGTCGTATACACACAGTCCGAGACATTCTGCTGCTGTAGAGCAGAGGGTTGCCAATGGCCATGTACCTGTCAAAGGCCATCACTGCTAAGATGAAGACTTCCACGTGGACAAAGGCAATGAAGAAGAAACACTGCACTATGCACCCAGGGTAGGAAATAGTCTTCACTTTAGATACCAGATTTTCCAACATTTTAGGGGTGACATTAGAAGAGAACCATATGTCTGCAAAAGACAGGTGATTGAGGAAAAAATACATGGGACTGCTAAGCTGAGGGCTGATCCTGATTAAAATGATCATCCCAATATTGCCAAGCAGGGTGACAATGTAGACTATCAAGAAAACTATAAAGAAGAGGATTTGCAGCTCAGGAGAACTAGTCAACCCTAGAAGGATAAACTCTGTTACTTCAGTAAAATTGGGCATTTTCTTAAATCTCATCCAGAAACAGAAGTATTCTATCTAATAAAACAAAAAAATCAGTAAGTATGGATGTCGAACACAGACAACGTAGACATTTGTTTTAGTATAACATTTTCCTCACTCATTTTCTTCATAGGGTACCGATGCTTTTATTTATTTCTCTTTTCTTATGTACGTAATCTCATAGCATTTTGTGCACGTGCATGCATACATTCATACACTATAGTTTTTACACTAGAAGATCATAAAATAACATAATCATAATGTTCAGTTTTACTAGCTTAGAAACAAATAATTTGCATATCAATTATATTCTATCTCTTTGAAATATAGACAATTTTGTCATACCTTAGAAATACATCAAAAGATGTTTCAAAATGAGAGTAAAATACAGACCTCTATTATGTCTTTAAGAAGTTACTTTATGTTTTAAATAACCCTAAAACATTAATGAACATTTGTCATTCATGTCTCCATTATGAACCAATACATGAAAACCATGCAACTTTTATCTTCTCTCTGAAATTTATACTTTTGAACTTGAAAAGGTAAATATTTTTTCAGCAGTCTTTGCCTTTCATTTCAGTTAGAACTCTGAGTAACAAAAGTGCATATATATGCAATGTCAATTAGTGAATGAAGGCACCTTGGATTTGAAGGAAAGTGGAGATGTGTATGTATGTTTGACTGCTTTGTGGGAGGAAAGAAAAGGGAGAAATGCTGTGATCATATTATAAACTCAAAACAAAGACAAAAAGGAACAAAACTGACTGACCCTCAATATTATTCATTAATAGGTGTATATAATTTAAATTGATGGCATTTCTAAAGTGTACCAGCAAGCTAAGGAAATCTGCAGTGTGTATAGCAAATGATTCCATTTCTGACTATATAAGATTAAGGGTTATTCCTTCTGAAGTTTCTTTCTTTCTCTTAACATAATGTTCTTATGGAGGATTAAATAAGATACAAGTAATGAGAGTAAGAGTGTTTAAAACAGAGGAACACTGAGCATTGTTCAACAGTGATGATTTATAAATCATCACCTCTCTTTAATGTGTCAGTAATCACTTCTCCAACATCTGCTTTCTATTAACTTTGCATTGAGTTCTCTATTTACAAGTTACTTTACTGCTGGCAAACCATCATGTAATCCAATGGTTCTCACTAACTTCAGTTTATGCATATGACATTAACTTTTCATAACAATCTACAGTGAATATCATTGTCTTTAAGGCTGTCTTGACTTATTTCACTATTTACTTGTTACTTTGTATATTTTAATGTTTTTTCAGAAACCTCACTGGTTCTCTTTCCATGCACCAATAACAATTATTAATAGTGTATTTCTTGTGTGGAGAAATCATTTTCCTACTCATTTAGAATCTGTCTTCCTACACTTCTTCTGCCCCAAGCTTCGTGTTCCATGAATTCCTCACTATTCTGATATGAAGATGTGACTTTATGTAAAGGATGGATGATAAAGAGAGGAAAAATAAGAAATTATTTTTTTCTTATGTTTCTAGTAGTTGAAGTCAATAAAAATGAATGGTATATCTAGTCATTTGCAAGCTATAACAGACTAATGGTTCTTTGAACTGTGAATTCATAGAAGAGAAATATCAAGACAAGTCTTTTAATATATCTTTTACTTCACCAGAAGATATACATTAATATTTTTGATCTCTTGCAAATAATTTACCTTGTCATACATGTATAGCTGATAAACTTGTTTATCTTGTCTGCCTGCTCAATGCAGGTACATTTAAAGAATTAATAATATTTTGTGCATTGTTGGCTATCACTGATGTATTTCCAACTATACTTCTTATATTTAAAATAGTTTTTTAACAATTTTTATTAATTGATTAATTTTACCAGACCATGCAATTTCCCCTCCCTCTCTCCACTCCTCTCAGTTCCTACCCCAATATCCCTTCCCCCACATCCACTCCTCCTCTTTTCTATTCTGAAAAGTACAGGACCTCCATGGATATCAGCCAGCCACGGTATATCACCTTGCAGTAAGACTAAGCATCTCCTCTCCTAATAAAGCTGGATGAGGCAACCAAAAGGAGGAAAATAAACCCAAAGCAGGTAATAGAGTCAAAAACAGCCCTGCTCCCTCTGTTAGGAGTCCCACAAGAAGACCAAGCTACATAAATGTAACATATGTGCAAAATGCCTAGGTCAGTCCCATACAAGATTTCTGGTTGTTGGTTCAGTCCCTGGTGAGTCCTTATGAGCCCAGGTTAGATGATTCTGTGGATTTCCTTGTGGCATAAAGGAACTTTTTAATTTACTCCTTTTTTATTTAAAACAAATTAATTCATGAAATATAAGAAAATAAAACTGTGCGTGTGATGTGCTTTATGTTTGTTATTTTCTTTACTGTTAAAATTCTGATATTTTAAATTATTTATTTATTTATTTATTTTGGCTGTTTGCTTAAGAGAGAGAAAAGTTATAGAGTTAGATGACTCGGGAGGTAGGGAGGATCTGGGAGGGAGAGGGAAAATTGTGATCAGAATATGTTATATAGAAAGGAATTAATTTCTAAAGCAAATTCAGGTAAAAGGAAGTGATATCAGGCTACTACTACTAATTAATGGGTGTTTCCGTAAGGTAATACAAACCAAGCATCTTTGGCTCCAAGGAGTCCTCAAATTTTAGTTTTGTTTAATGACCAATTTGAACTGGAAACAAGAGATCAAATTATGCCTTGATGCAATCAATCTACATTTTCACTAGCTCTCAGCCTGTGGCATGGCATATGAAGTGGTCCCCAGCAGTTGTAGAGTTTCCTTGTGTGAAAATAAATGCTGTGTATTCTAGCAAATACCCGGGTCCCTAACAAACCAGGATGCCATTGTACAAGGTATCAGAGGTAACAATTGAAGCTGCTAGCTAGCTCTTAGAAGATCCTACAGAATTCTAGCTCTGAAAGAGCAGAGATTTTACAAAATGGCCAGCACAACTGACCAGTTTCTCAGACTGTTTCCAGGCTAAATTTCAAATAATTAAGGTGAAGAGAAAAACGAGGTTTTATTGCTGGTTTTTTAAAAGAATTTGACACTTTTTAAATGTAATGTGAACAAAAAGTTCAAACAAGTTTGAACATACTTGCTAGGCTACAAATGTTACCACTGTATATAAGTTCAGTTCTGAGTTTGTGCACATGTGACAGAAAGACAGATAAATTAATATTAGCACAAGTTTTAAAAAATCACAATAGAAACGAAACATGCTTCTTAACTACTGCTTGATAACACTCTGACAGGTTTCACGGTTTTCTTAGTATATTTCTCTCACAAAAAAAGTTATCATCCTTAGATTGGTGCACCAGACCTAAAGAACTATCTACAACAGACCCCCATTATGACTGTGAAGTTTATCCAACCTTTTTATTTAAAATTTTTGCTTATCTTTTGGTAATTCGATACACAAATACAGTGTATTTAAATCCTATCCATTCCCTGTTCCACTCCAACTCCTATCTGGACACATCATCCAGAGAAGATCCTCAGTAAAATATTCTCTTGGTCCTCAGAATTTTAAGTGTAGCCCAGAGGGCTAAAACGTTAGGTTTTGCTGAAATATAAGCAAGCACAGATGAGAATGCTGCCTCTGTGATGAACCTACCTGTAAGTGAAGTAAGAATCTTCTCAAAAACATTGCATCTGTCAGCATCAATGAGTAATTCGAGCACATTTATAAGAAGCCAGCTTCCAACCATGTATATCTTACTGGGAAGCACAGAAGGACCCTGAAGATTCAATTAAAATGTTACATATTACATCATCTATCTGCATATCAGAAAAGTAACCTCAAGAGATGTACAATTCTCAGTAGAATTAGAATTTTAAACCAGACACTATGTGAACAATTCTTTCTATTTCCTTTTTTAAAAAGCTTTCCATGAATCTTGATGAATGTGTTGCATCCCTAATAAAGACTGTGTTTTCCCATGTGGTGGGACCAGAATTGAACAATATGGAAGCATATATATTTCAATAAGCAGTATTTTATAATAGGCAAATTGAGGACATTTATTGTTAATGAAGTCCATCTCCCATTTTTTCCAATAAGAAATAGATGATTTATATGAGTTAATGAGACTGAGGCATTACCTCACTTATTAGGGGTTTCCTTGCCTTCATGAGGACCTGAGATCGGCCCTTGAAAGTCACATTATTTAAGAATCAATAATGCAAAAGATTGTATCCCCAGATCCGTGAAAGACAGAGGCAGGAGGATGCCTTAGACCCATTGACCAGCAAATCTATCACGCTGGGTCATATTCAATCCAGTGGGAGATCCTAATCCAGGGGCAAAATTGATAGCACCTGAAAAATAATACCCAAGGCTGACATTTGTCCTCCACGTGCTCATGCACACTAGCTGTGCACACTAACATCACAAATATATGTACATAGACATACTCACAAGAACACATAGAATGAAAGACTGAAGGAGGACACATTTTCTACACCCACATAATTTGTGAACTTTAAGTGAGTTTCTTTAGTTTTGAAAGACTTAGTTTACTTCTCTAAAAATCTAGCTTACATAGACGTTGACAGTTAATGGAATAAAATATGATTTTTTCATCAAGTAGTAATTTATGCCACCCTTATCTGGAAGAAGAAAAGCCCTTGACAACTCTTTGAAAACATTACCTCAAGAATTCTGCTGGCATTTTAACAGAGAAATGATTGGTAGGGTGCACGTACGTTCTTTATTTTTAATATGTTTTTAGTTAAAGTAGAACTGCATTGTTTTCCTCTGTCTTCCCCTACTATTAAGTTTTTAACATTTTTATTATATTATTGTTGTACATATATATTGCATATATATTATATGCATATAAATTACTATGATGTCTGTTTTTGTTGGTTGTGTATATAAGATTTTAGGCCTTACTGCTCTGCATTGAACAACCAGTAAGGGAGCTTATTCCAGGGAAAGGCTAACTAATTCTCCTTCTAGCAGTAAATAGTCCT